TATGGATGGTGTGACAAAAGATCTTGTAGTACAAAATCAATTAAGAGCTCCGGAAGAGCTAATTTGTTACTACCCGGATGAATAAAATTGTTCATGACATTGATATTGTAGTAAGTCTCAAAAGAAACTTTTTTAGTTTCAAATGTATTAGCCAAAGTGGTTGGCATATTGAGACTATAAATGAAAGGAAGATCGATTAGCTCCATATTACTATAACATATCGGGTAAATATGAAGGTTACACGATTTTTCTTTTATTTGTACTACAGATGTATAAGCATGATATGAAATCACATGCCATAGTAAATTAAATGTTTACTGAAATAAATATCAGTTGGAATGATCGGTTGGCCATCCCGGTTTATTGATGCGAAAATTAATTGAGAATTCACATTGGCATATATTAAAGAAATAGAAGATTCTTCAAGAATTCTCTTGTGCTGCTTATTCTCATGATATACCAGTTAAGGTTGGGACTGAATCCCTTGATTTCTGGAACGAATAGAAGGTGATATATATATGGGCTCAGTCACCTGCCATGTGGATCGTTTACTATTATATGATTTTAATAGATGCATCTATTGTATGGTCACATGTGCGTTTGTTATCAACTTGCACTTTGGTTTTTGCAAGGTTGTTTGCTCAAATTATTAGAGCACAGTTCCTGAATATATATGATAATTTATCTTGAAAATGCTGGTTTAAATCCAAGTTGGTTTAGCAGAAATTGTATGCCTCCAATTATAGCTAAACCATTGGTTATGAGAACAAAACTCCCAAATAAAAATTTGGTATGAGGTGTATTATTTAATATACAACAGCACTTGTACGCATCTAGCCAACAAGTTATGATAAATTCTCCCCATCACAATTGGTTCACGGTCAGGAACCAAATATTCCCATCTAGAAATATGGATGTGCTATATGATTTAATTGTGCTGCCACAATGCACAAAGATGGGTTCCCAAAGAAGGTTGAAAAATGTGTTGTGACCCCGACATTAGGGGGAGAAAATGGGCAGCTGAAAAAGTGATACGTGAAATGAATTATTATGAATACATCTAGATCCTCGTACAAGAAAATGTGAACTTGAAGTTCAAGTGATAATTCATTTCTAAAATATTTCCAAGCACATTGCTGACCCAAAGTTAAATGTCATATTCCAGCTGCTAATGCTCCAAATAGAATAACGTCCATGATGGATAGAGTTTATGGCACGCATGAAGCGTAATAGACAAATCGGTTCCAAAGATAAAACTCCTTGAAGAAGGAGGGAGCAAATGTTCAAGATGGTCATAATAAGGAGGCAAGTGCTTTATAAAGAGCACCATGACATAACACTTTATAAGACCTCATGGGAGAGGCTCAAGTACTTGAAAATAATGAAATCTCGATAAGTTATGTCTTTATTGTGTGATGATGGAACCGATGTAAAATGATCGTCGACGACGTTGTTAATATAATGTAGCGCTCAATATTATTAATATTGACGAGGATCTTGAGCTCAAATCTGTCATGGAATTTGGACAGATAAATGATTGGCCAAATGAAAAATATGCAATGAAAATTGACTTCATCTGAAAAATATGAAGTTTGGACGAATAGTCCCAACAGCTGAGAGTATAAAGGCTATATGGAGATATTGAAATATGATTAGTATTATATTGCAAAAAGAATCCTTGATATAGATTTGTTTATTCTAACAAATGTCAAGGTTTTGTTGTTTATGCAAATGCAGGCATTTATTGAAATCCGTTCTTCAAACAATCTATTTGTATGTGAGGAATTGTCATATTATCATTTCACAAGATGTGTGACTTTTCTTTGAAGAGAAGATTCCAATAATAATATGTTTGCTTATCTCAATTGAAAGAAGAATATTGAAGGAGACTGAATAAATCATATATTTCATCAAAGTTCTTTGTCAGACACGATCTTCAACAGAATGATGAAATAGATGTTCAAGAAATTCGTTCAAGTAATAATTTGGCGGAATAATTCACCAAGGCATTGCCGATCTCAATATTAGAGAAGTTGTTAGACAAGCTTGGAATTCGTCGTGATATTTTCATTAGGGGGAGGCAAATATGTGCTGTACTCTTTTTCCCTTAGCTAAGGTTTTATCCCACTGGATTTTCCTGGCAAGGTTTTTAACGAGGCAGCAAATAAAGCGTATTACATATATGTGTACTCTTTTTCCTTCACTAGGATTTTTTTCCCATAGGGTTTTTTCCTAGTAAGGTTTTAACGAGGCACATTATCTTTGGACATCCAAGGGGGAGTGTTATGAAATACTTGATTATGGTGGATGTCCATAACTCCTAAGGGAGTAACACCCACTACTCTTCTCCATTAACCTCCCACTACTTCTTACCATTATGGATGTAACTCCCACACCTCCATGATCTTCCCCCATGTTCTCAATAGTTAATACCATGTTTATGGAGTCCCTTTGTATTACCTATATCATCCTATAAATAGAGGGTTAGGGCATCACATTGTACACACTTGAATACATGGAAGAAATAGATTCTCTCCTCTCTTTCTCTCTACATTGTTGTCTATCTTCTTGTTTTATATTATTACTTTGACCTAAGTTTCGTAACACCTACTACAAATTTTTGTTTTGTAGCATCTTCAGCAGTGAATTTTTTAATTAAGGCTTCCCCGATAGCTTTTGCTTTTTTATAGCTGCAATACAATAGTTCATTAGAAATAGTTTTCAATATAGTATGACAGCTTACCTTGTTGGCATGTTGCCATGATTCCACTATTTTGTTATCAGTGTCTGGACTAGGTTGTGGATGCAGCAGTGCATGTGCAACACCATGGACATCAAGCCATGAGAAAGTACGTTCTTGCCAACGCTTGAAATTTTCATTGGCGAAAATTTCGATATTCGACACATCTGGAAATGGCCTGGCATATGATAGTGCAACTGGAACTGGGGCAGCGAAGGTAGCGCCAATATTGCTAGTATCAGTAGTATTTTCAGTATCAGTAGTAATTGAGAGCAAGAATTTCAATAACACTGTTTCAATATTCTTTGTAAGTAGATACACGAATTAGCTTGAGTCGTGCTGGGCACTGTCCTAAGAAACTATTTCAGCAGTGCGAAATGTTTCTCCAGGATTAAACAAGCTTACCTCTATTTTATTTAGAGTAGGGGTGGGTATAAAATCCGAAAAACCGAATTCCGAACCGAATCGAATTAATTTGGTATTTCGGTTTCGGTTTTTTTCGGTATTTCGGTAATTCGGTTCGGTATACGGTATTGGTTTTTTGATATTTCGGTATTTCGGTATTACCGAAATTCGATATTAAAAGCGTTGATTAGTTTGTCGGCTACTTGATTTATAACCCGCAATTTTCAATCTATCGTCTTTGTAACTTTCACCAACCAGCCGCTGCAGGACGAAGGAATCACAGTTCTACTGTCCATGCTCGCCGAGCTAGGGTACACCAACAGTTGTTAACTGACCGAAACAAAGTAGATTACTAACGTAGATAAACATGGTAAAACTACATTCCTCAAAATTTCTAGACTAAATAAAAGAGATACTACATTGCAGGAAGGAATTAAACTTTTCTCAATTCCTGATTTACCTTTCCAAGAGAGGAATCAAATTGGCTTCCTTTACAATGGAAAGTTAAAAGCTCAGCTTTAAGCCGTGCAAATGCCAAAATATATGAGAAGACCGGTGAAGATATACATAGAGGTTAGCCAGAGGGTAAATTTTTACGCATTTGGTCTATGTTAAGTCGTATTTGGACATAACCTAGTGATTTCCAGAATTAATGGAGGTCAACATGTGTTAGCACATTGATCAACATGGATTACATTAGTTAATGGAGTAGGGGAGATTGTTGGACTTTAAGCCATTGGGCTTTAAAGTAGAAGAAGTGTGAATTGGAAATGGAGGGAAATAAAATGGAGGGAGAAATGAAAATTTGAAGAAGTAAACTTTTGTCTTGCACTTTGTCCCTCATTGGTGAGGGAGAATCACATTTGTGTGCTTATATATAGAATCACTTCTTAAAGCTCTTAAAAGGAGTTGAAGAGAATGAACCCTCGCGCCGTCGTCGTTGCTCGCTCGGCTCGGCTTCGGCTTTGGATTTGGATTTGTCAAATGATCGATCGATAATATTATTTTAGAGGGACTCTCTGGCCGCGGTTCTGCCGTAACCGCGGTAGAACCACGGCAGGCAGATTCAGAGAGCCTCTCTGATCGCGGTTCTGCCGTAACCGCGGTAGAACCGCGACAGACAACGTATTCTTCTGAAAAGGCACCTTTTCCAGACACCTCTTCTGATAATTGCCTATAAATTCTGAGGCAAGGCTCCATTTTCTACACACAAAAAACACTCCAGAACTTCTTTCTTTTTGAATATACTGCATCCTAATTCGCAGTCTCTCTGTCTCCAATTCGTAAGTGTGATTTTGCTCCGTTCTTTGAGTTCGTTGGGATCCTGCAGTTTGTATTGCCACTATTGCAGGAAGGTTTATTCCGTTTTATCCTGGGAGGATTTAATCCATTACCTTGGCAACTTGTGAGGGGGTTAAAATTCCTTAAGGACACACAAGAAACTTGTGGACTCGGAATATTTATGATTCTCTACTATTTTCCAGATTTCTTTAATTCTTCTAACAATTTTTTTTCCTGATTTTGTGTTTTAACACAGTAACGCTCACAAGCTTAAGGAATTTTATAAACTAACGTTTCTGTGTTGAAACATATATTAAACTGTTATTCATATTTTGTATACTGTTTTAGAGACTAAAGCCTTCGTGCTTTCTACTCCAATATTTGTTCTGTCCGGTTTAAAGTATATATAAACTTTACCGGAATAATAAACGTACGGGTTTGAAG